AGTGTTATAGGTAAAATAGTAGTTGAATGATTCACTCAGTATCTTTCATTCAGAATCTAGAAAAGACACATTTTCTCCTTTGTCAGCAGCCATGGGGGGGGGGGGGGGGGGGGAGGAAGGTGCCCTTCTCTTGACACATTGAGAAAAGTGTGAGGAGGGGAGGTCAAACCACAAGGTCAAAACTCGGTAGGTCAAGAAATCAATTGGGAGTGACTTCATACAACTAGCATTATGGCTAATGGAAAGGAGTGAATAATGTGGAGAGGTATGGAATAGAAAATAACCAGCGTCTCAGTCTCTTCAATATCCTCCTATGCAATCCCATTCTTTCCACTAACTCCTCATGTTACTAAACTCTTTATACTAGAGTCTCTCTCTCTTCTGAAAATGCAGAAGGTAGTTCCCCCCTCTCTAAGCACTATGAAAGTTGGTGGGGGAAATACCAGTACTGGGGCTTGAACTCAGGATTTTTCATTCAAGGCTTGTACTCAATCACTTGAGCCATAGCTCCACTTCTGGCTCTTTTTTTTATAATTAGAGTTAAGCATCTTGTGAATGTTTCCTTCCCAGGCCAGCTTTGAATCAGAATCCTCAGATGTCAGATCCAGATGTTGTGTTTTTAACAAAGGAAAAGAAAAGTATGAACAACCTACCCAATGTCACCAGTCATCATTATGATCACAGAAAATGCAGATTTTCTTGTGCTGTCCAACCTAGTGAATTATCCCTAAACTCTAACACCTATCAGGTTTGAAATTTTGTGAAAATGTCATGGTACTTTTTCTAGCCTCCTAGTGGACTAAAAACTTAGATAATTGCTAGAAGAACTGATCACATAATTCATATAAACTTTACTGTAGCTGAAGAATAAATATTACACATGCTTTCAAAATATACTATCCTCATTATAATTCTGAGGAAAGAAAGGCGATTACAGAAACTCTGACTCATGTTCCTGACAGCTAATGAAAAAAAAAAAAAGAAAAAGAAAACTTGCCAGCAGCAAAAGTGAATTCCTTTTAATCTCAATGACAGGCACTTTTGTTTTTCAGAAGAAAAGGTCTTCCATTCAATTTTAAATAATGACTGGTTTTTTAATTGTAAGGCATGGAGGGCACCTCCTTATTAACTCAGAGTTTCCTTCTGAGCAGATATGGGCAAAAGAAATGGCTGAGTAAATCTGAATGCAGACAAATCAACAGGACTTACTGTGATCTTTCCACTGAAACTTCTGACTATGAACACCAGTATTATGCCAAAGTTAAAGCCATTTGGGAAGCAAACTGTTCTGAGTGGGCTGAAACCGAGCGATTCTATCCTTTGTTGGAAAGTAAGTAATGTCGTTGTCTGTTGCATGTGGATTGATCTCAAATTAATCTGACCCTTGGTGTAATGGTCTTGGCTCCATAGACAACCTTGTCCCAGAGGAAAAGGTCTGTTTGGCTCTGTTCTACACGAGCAGGTATAGTGGCCAGCCAGAGTGCTGGGCTTCAGAATCTCATCAGTTGGTGAAGACTTCTGCCAAGGGATCTCTAAAATCTCTTCCAGATCCAAAACTAAGGACAGATGCCAATATTATCAGCTTTTGATTTTGTTTAATGGAATGTCCTGACCAGCTGAGCTATTCAAAATTTGTGTGGTTCCATCTCAAGCTATGGTGGTAGATAACTCTTATACCAGCTACAAGAGAAACACATGCATGGCTGTCATCCTCAGTAACATGGGAACATATAAGTAGGATTGTAACATAGGTAGGCTCAAGCATAAAGTGAGACCCTCACCCTGAAAAACACAAATATGAAAAAGGACTGGAGATGTGGTTCTCGTGTAGAGTACCTACAAGCAAGTATGAAGCCTTGAGTTCAATCCTCAGTGCCACACACACACACACACACACACACACACACACACACACACACAAAACATGTCTTGTTTGCCTAAATAAGGAAGACTTTTATTGTTATGAACTTGGTAATGTATTGAAGTGTAATTCATAATTAAAGCAATGTATTTCTTTAATTTGCTTTTATAATTTTCCTTCTTTTAATCGATGGCTGACTCAGCCATGAAGGACACTGCATGGCCTGGGACCTTGGCCTTCTTCAGTACTCTTCCAGAGTAGAGGTCATCAAACTATATCCTGTGGACAAGATCCAACACTTTTCTACAGGCCAAGAGATAAGAATAGTATTCATATTTAAATAGTTTTAAAAATCAAAAGAAGAATATTTTGTGACACATGAAAATTAAATTCAGATTTGAATGTCTGTTTATAAATAAAGTTTTATTGGGACAACGGTCAGATTCATTAGTTTACATAGTTACCTATGACTGTTTCTACACCATATCTAAAATTGATTGAGATAGAGATGCTGTGAACAACAAAGCCTATAATATTTATTCTCCTGACCTTTGTGATAAAAGTTTACTGGCCTCTGTTCTGGGTCATTTTAATCCCATCTCTGATTTTTCCATTGATCAAACTATGTTAATGTTACTTAGCACCAATTTTATTAAATCACAAGAAAGTTAAAACACATTTGACTGTGTTTAGCACCATCTTATACTGACTGTGTTACTAGGAATTAAATAAATACAACTCGTGCCTACTTTACTATATTCAGAGTACCTCCTGACTTATAAGAAGGTAGGTTCAAGCTGGGTGTTGGTGGCTCATGCCTGTAATCCTAGCTATTCAGGAAGCTGAGATCTGAGGATCACAGTTCAAAGCCAGCCCTGGCAGGAAAGTCTGTGAGACTCTTATCTCCAATAAACCACCAGAAAACCAAAAGTGGCACTGTGGCTTAAGTGGTATAGTACTCTCCCTGAGCTGAAAAGCTTAAGGACAGCACCCAGGCCCAGAGTTCAAGCCCCACAACTGACAAAAAAAAAAAAAAAAAGCAGAAGAAGAGAAGGTAGGTTCAGGTCTTTTACCTAAATGGGATTGAGTTGCAGCCTTTTCTAAGCTAATTTTTCATACCTAAACATAATACCTTCTCCCTTCCTTTTTAGCACAAATTGGCCCACCAGAGGTTGCTCTGGCTGCTAGTGAAAAGTCCATTTCAATTGTCCTAACGGCACCAGAGAAATGGAAGAGAAATCCAGAAGACCCTACTGTTTCCATGCAACAAATATACTCCAGTCTGAACTACAACATCTCTGTGTATAACACTAAGTCAAAAAGAATGGTAAGCCTGAAATGGGATAGGGCATGTATCACCTTCTGTAGCTGATTCTGGGACATACATTGGAATCTAAAGCATTAGTTTGTATATTAATCTGATTTGATTTGATTTTCTGTGTGAAAATCCAGAAGCTTATGCTACTTGAAACAAATACTAAGCAAGATACGATATGGAATCAATTTCCTGGACTTTAGATTTTGCTGATAAAACCCCTCTAATAATGCACGATGTTGCTCTGGGAGCATAGAGCAGTAGTACACTTCACTTGGAAGAAGAGCTTTTACTTGCATACCATCTATCAATCACTCTCCACAACAGGTTTATTAAATGTCAGTAAGCCAGGGGTGGTGTTCAAGCTTGTAACCCCAGCTACAGGGCAGGCATAGGCAGGAACATTGCAGCCTCTGGCCTGACCAGGCAAAAATGCAAGACCCTATATAAAAAATAACTGAAAGCAGAGCTGGAGGTGTGGCTCAAGTGGTAGAGAACTTGCCAAGCAAGTACAAAGTCCTGAGTTCAAATCCCAGTACTGCCAAAATGTCAACAAGAACATAGGAAAAACATTAAGTAAGACATCCTCTGTTATTTTAGAGTTGTCCTAGAATTGGGCCAACTCCCAACCGTGGTCTGCTGGGCTAAAGTAAAAAGGTATTTTGAAACTGCTGTTGAAGAAAGGGGTAAAAAGCATACAATGATGGTAAAGGATCCAATTGTGTCTCAGTGTTTTGTTTCCTCCTAGCATTGTCTGGGGTGGTCCCAGGACCTCTGGCTCTAACTGCTGTTTCCAATTCCCTCCCTAGTGGTCCCAGTTTGTCACCAACCACACACTGGTGCTCAGCTGGCTGGAGCCAAACACTCTGTACTGTGTCACTGTGGAGTCCTTCGTCCCAGGGCTCCCTGGCCATACTCAGCCATCTCAGCAGTGTGTCAGTACTTTGAAAGGTAAGCACCAAGAAAATGGGGCATATTTACACAATGGAATTCCATGCTTCCATCAAAGAGAATGACATTGCCCCATTCCTAAGGAAATGGAAAGGCTTAAGAAAAAAACTATACTAAGTGAAGTAAGCCAGAGAAACATAGGCTGCATGGCTTCCCTCATCAGAATGTACCTATAAATCTACAAGTAAACCCAATGGATAGTAAAAGACAAATCATTGCACCTGGACATGATTAGTTAAACAGCAGTCTAAACATTAACACAACGAGAACACGATATTCTTAGGAGGGGATCACAAGGGCTCAATAGCTATGTGCATATGATCATATAGAATGATGCTTATCTAAATGAACTCCAAGAAATGGAAGCAAGAGGTGTTTTTTTTTTATTGTACTGTTTGTGAGATTTTTTTTCTTTCCTTCTTTCCTTTTTCTATTTTTATTTCTTGGATAACTCCTTTCTGTCATTTTTTTTTCTAAGTAGTGAAGTCATTCAATCCTATGAGGAATTGTGGAGTTGTAAACAGGGCATTTGTTTATAATCTTTCTGTCCATGGAGTGAGGAGAGCTTGAACTCAGACTCTGAAAACTGAAAGAAAAGAATCCTAAGGTTTGCCCACAACCACTGGCTTTTCATCCAATACTTTTCTGCCTCTTTCTTTCAACAAATGCTCACCTTGGCCACAGGCCCTCGCTGGATTCCCATTCTCACGTGCCCTCGGGCCTCCCATCTTTTAAAGGAAAACTTTCCTGAGGAGAAGGAGACTACTGTGAATACATATAAAAAGGTTAAAGCTTTATTATTGAATCCCCATCCTTATCATAACTTTTCCTTTGAAATGAAGGGTTTGCTACCACTTTATAAATGAAAGAGAAGTGCCAAGCCAGCAGAAGGGAAAACAAAAGCAAAGCAGATTGAAGAAATCATTTTTATATTGGGGGGAAAGTTGGTTGTGCACACAGTTTGTTCAGTGCCAAATGGTAGGAATGAATTTCCAGGGGAAATCATGGACTGCATTGGCAGAGCTAAAGCCACTCAATAGCAGATTAAACAAGCTACGTCTAGTAAGCAGATGGAGCCTGCTCACTCACCGGTAAGAAAGGGGGCAAGGTGAAAGGACCACCAATTCTGGTTCTGAGCTTTGCCCGGACATCCTTCATAGGACATCACCAGAGACACTACCTCTGAGAAAATTAGTAAGACTTCTTTGAGGCTATGCCTAAAGAATATTTCTGCTTAATATTCTTTGAGCAATCTCCTAAATTCAAGTGCATTGGCTGTATTGTAGCAATATATATATATATATAAATAGCTATAATATATTATGATATATATTATATTATGTATAGTTCTTAGCTATACAGTAGCAAACATGCTAGATCACACTAAATGCCATAGTCATTGTCATCACAACCCAGAACGAGCTCAGGCCAGGGGCTGTATGAAGAGGACTAGACTGAGCTGCAGCCTACAGTAAGTTGAATTCACATACATGCCACATCTCTGCACAATCTTTTTACATTACTATGCAGGACCTGCTGCTGAGCATGCTCTCTGGGGCCTGTTCTGGATAGAAGAGCCTACAATGGTCCCCTGTCCCCCCTCAGTGAAGAAAGAACCCTCTCTGTCCATGATACCTCTGTTTTCTATGTGTAACTGAATAATAGACTCAATAGTGACTTGGCTGCTTTGTCTCAGGCCCGGGCATCAGCAGCATTCGATGGTACATGTGGACTGGAATGCTCTCATGCCTCACTTGGTGATTTTAATAGTGTGTGAAGAAGAGTCTAGGGCATTTGTCGTTTGTGCTGTTTGCTTCCTTTCTCTACTGCTGTATTTGCCAGAATTCTCCAGAGAAACAGAACCAATAGAATGGACAGATACGAGAGAATAAAGGGTTGGCTCTTGCAATTGTGTATGTTGGCAAGTCCAAACTCTGTAAGGCAGTTATCAGGCTTGAGCCCCATGTGAGAAATGGATTTCCAATGTGTGTTCAAAACCCATCTGCTGGCAGAATTCCCCAAGGGTCATTGGTTATTTTAGATTAAGAGCTTCAGTTGACTGGATGAGACCCAACTACATTATCCAGAGCTTTATTAAGGCTTTATTCAGAATCTGATTCAAATGTTAATATCATCTAAAAAAATGCTTCCACAGAAACATCTAGAATAATGTTTTGCCAATATCTGGGTACTATGGCTTGGCCAAGTTGACATGCAACATTAACCATCCCAATATCCAAGTGCAGCTCAGAGGCTTAACAAATATGCGAGTAACAATGGAACCTAGACATCAGCTCTAAGATGTCGTTACTGGTAGGCACCCTACTTTTCTCAAAATTTTTCTCTTCATCATTCCTCTTTGTGTGGATTTCCCATCCGCACAGACCTATATCCTACCAGGTCCTAGAGCGTCAACACACTTGGAAGATGAGCCCCCTCTCCACACATTCCCCAGCTCCAGCCATACCCAGAAGCATGACTGACCAGTGCCAGGATGGGCATGTTAGTGGTGACCTAGACATTCATGTTCTTTGCTAAAGGCATGAAAAAGATGGCGTTCCGTGGGCAGCACAGAAAAGTGGGGCAGCCTTACATGGTTTGAAGAGCTGGTGAGTTCCACTATCTGAGACACCTCACCTTCAAATATAGGAACCATCAGGAATCTCAAGGCTAGACATAAACTGTTGGAATATCCAATGACTTGAGTTATTAATGCATCCTTAAGGTCAAAATGTAAGGCGGGTCTAGAGTAAGACCATCTATTGTCAGAAAGACTAAGAATCCTGGGACCGCTCCCCTTACACTGAGCCCAAGCTTCTCACTGTACAAATGAGAAAACTAACACTTCTGTCTCTCACCCTTTCAAAATCATAACTATTCACCACTTCTCTTTTTTTGTATTGTTAACAGATCAAACATCAACATTGAAGGTTAAAATCATCTTCTGGTATGTTTTGCCCATATCTGTTGTCCTGTTTCTTTTTTCTGTGATCGGCTGCTCCATCTACCGATATATCCATGTTGGCAAAGAAAAACACCCGGAGAATTTGGTGAGTACTTGGCACAGCAAGAATTTCTTTTATAGCAGCAAACTCCAGCAGAATGCTACAACCGATTCAATTGTTAACAGCAGAATTGATTTAAACTTAAAAAGTTGATGGATTGAAAAAAAAATATATATATATATGGGCTGGAAATATAGCTCAGTGGTAGAACACTTGCTTAGTTTGGCAAACATGATGCTTGAGTTGTGTACCCAATACTACAAAAAAGAGAGAGAAAGAAGGAAGGGAGGGAAGGAAGAAATGAAAGATAAGACTGAAGGCATGGTTCTAGGTATGGCTCAAGAAGCCAGCTATAAGTAAGAAATCTAAGTGTGAGTGTGAGGCCCTGAGTTCAAGCACCCGGACTGGCACAAGCACAAAATTTCCTTAGCTTTGAAAAGACTTTATCTTTAATGATTAGATTGCATCATCCTAGGATATATAGATGAGTTATGACACAATCCCTACCTTTCTTGAGGTTCTGCTTAGTCACCATATTGAATTTCAAAATAAGTTGTGAAGGATGATAAACACAGGCCCTTGGTGGCTTGGTGGGGGAGAGCAGGAAGATACACTGAGGACTCAAATCTCATGTCCAAGTTTGGTTATGAAAGTAAGAGTTAGGACACTTACTCTGGGCAGAAGAAAGAGCAGAGCAAAGGGGAGAAGGGTAAGGGAAGACATGTGGGAAACCACTCATGAGCAGCCCATCTGGTTCCTGATAATCGGTTGAACTGGAAAGCAGATGCTGGCAGGTACTAGGAGACCTAGGATAATACTCCAAAGAGTATGGGCTTTGTTAGAGAAATCTCAGTTCAGATTTTAATTTAAATTTCGTGTACCTTTTTCTTTACAGTGGTAGGGTTCCAAATTCAGGGCCTCACCCTTGCTACATAGGTGTTCTACTCCTGAGCCACGTGCTCATCAAGTTGAGTGTCATAGTCACCTCTGAAGTTTTAGATCCAACTAGATATTAGTTCTAGGGTAACTTTAAAAGGAATATGACTAGAAATAAGAGAAGCAGCTAAGAGGCTATGACAGTTGTCGAGGGGAGAGACAATGGCAGTCCAGAAGAAGAGAGTAGAGCATCAGGATTGAGATGTAATGGAACCACAGTTAAGGGACACAAGGCCAGACTTGGCCATTCAGGGCAAGGAAAAGCAAGCAAGTGGAAGGAACCAACCTGATTTACTAAACATTTGCTAACACATGAGAGAGAGCTAAGCAGCATCTGATGGACCATTTTTCCCATGGGAATTATTAAAAGATGCATTCCTGTATATGTACAGTACACAATACTGTACATGCATGTGTTTTCCTAGATCAATTGAAACATTTTTCTATTTTTTTCTGCTGGTATTAGCTTCTTAATGGCACAGGGAAACTTTAGCTTGGAGAAAAATTCACAGGAGGATTGCATAAAATGTTTTTAATCAAAACATTTTTAAAAGAATGAGGTTGAAGGTCCTACTTTGCAATGCTAAGTTACATCCTATCTTAAAATGATGATGGAGTTGAACCCGAACTCATTACTAACCGATGTCTTCTTAAATAATCGGCATCTTCCACATATCCCTACCAAATTTTAATCTCAGATTCAAATCCCTCATTTGGAGTTACCCTGTCTGTCCTAAGCGGGCAGATGCATTTCCTTTGCTGGCCTTATTCTGGCATGATTTTCACATGGGAAAATCCCTAGTCAGGTAACCATCTGCTTTCTACTCTGTCTTCATATCTGCCTACATTTCACCTCCACCATAACTGCAAGAAAGGAATGATATCCACATGACCCTAGCTTATCAACAAATACATAGTTGAACCCTGTACTCCAAATCAATTTCACAGACTCTTAGTCTTTGCCACTCTCTGTGTGGCAGAAATTCTGATTTTGCAGAATTGACTATTTTCAATAGATGGGCACCAGTGGCTCACACTTGTAATTCTAGCTACCAGGAAAGCTGAGAACTAAGGATCTTATTTCAAAGCCAGTCCAGGGCAAGAAAGTCTGTGAGACTCTTATCTCCAATTAACCACGGGGGGGGGGGGAGGGGGCAACAGAAATGGTGCTGGAGCTCAAGTGATAGAGTACTAGCTTTGAGTAAAACAGCTAAGGGGCAGAGCCCAGCCCCTAATTTTAAGCTCCGATAAGAGCACACACATACACACACACTCAAGAGTTTAAGCTTGTCTTGGACATTAAGGGGAGGGATGGGCCTCACCTGTGTGAACCACCGTTCTTCCCTTCCAATCACCTTTCGTGGCTCCTGGCTTTCCACGTGTTCCAAGTGTGCCTTCCACTTTTGCCTGAGCTGCTCAGTTGCCACCCAGGAGTTCTACTTGACAGCTGGTTTTAACCTCTCCCTAACGTGAGAAACCCACTCTTCTCTCGTGGCAGATTCTGCTCTATGGAAGTGAACTGGACCAAAGATTCTTTGCGCCTGCCGAGCAAACCGTGGTCAACTTCATCACCCTCACTATTAGGGATGATTCCAGAATTCCTCCGAAGGAGACAGTGGAAAGCGTCCACGCCGGACCCCCCCTCCGTGCGCCTGCGCGCAGCTGGGGCCGGGCGCCCCGTCTGGAGGACGCGTGCTTGCAGCCCTCCGGGTATGCCGAACACGTGGTGGAGGTTGAGGAAAGCGGTCAAGGGGCGGCCCTGACCCCGGGGGCGGGGCCTGGCGCGGCCACGCCCACGGAGAAGGCAGCCCCTGCCCACCAGTACCACGTCCGGGCCGAGCTCCCCCGGGGGCTTGCAGGCCACCCGCCGGGGGCCCGGGAGCAGGGGCCCGGACCGGGAGCCCTACCCGTGCCACAGGCACTGCTGTGCGGCTACACCCCTCGGCTCTGCGACGTGGCGCGGGAACACACCGTCCCGGAAGAGGCGGGGGAAGAGCCGCCAAGGACCCTGGTGGACTGGGACCCCCGGACCGGCAGGCTGCGCATCCCGTCCCTGTGCAGCTCCGACCCGGAGCCCGAGGACCGCGCCCCCGGGGACGGGGACGGACTCCCAGAACAGAGCCTTTTGTCTCGACTCTATGAGAAGCAGGCCCCGGACCAGCCAGCAGAGGGGTGTGGAGACTGTCTCGTGGAGTTCATGGAGGAATGGGGCTTGTACGTACAAATGGGAAGCTAACCTACGACGCTTTCCTCGCTCGACCCCGCCGTAGCGTTGGAGGGCCCGCGGGGATGGACGGTTCAGACGGGCGACCCACCTGCGCGCGCGCGCTGCTGCCCTCGGCTCTTTGCACTTGTGTGGTGCTGCCCTCTGCCGGTGGTTGAGATACGCGCAGGTCTCTGGCCAGGACAGAGGGTGGGAGGTCAGGCAGTATTTGCCTGGCAGTGTGCAGAATTTACTTGCAAAGGTGTACTATGACCACTCTGCTTACTTTTTTATTCTAATAAGCATGCTTTTTCCAGTTATTTTTCTGGTTATTCTATGTGTATATAACACTGAAAAAATATTTCATAAAGAGCATTCATTTTATACATATTGGTTTTTCAGAACTTTTGTTTATGAGAACAATGAAATACTTCAAATAAGCAAATGTCATTAAGTCAGCAGTCAGCGGGCCACATGAAAAGGCCTCAACCTACTATTTAACCATAATAATCCGTGTTTAGATGGATACATCACGCATGACCCTCATGACATCATGTGCTTTGCCTGCCCTTCAGACCTTATTAGTACTTTTGGAGTGTGAACTTAGATAATTGCTCTTTGGGTGTCAAGGAAATGCCCTCTCTATAATTCAGTAGGGACATTTTGTTGTCCTTCAAAACTGACACAAAAGAAAATGACACATTTATAATCAAATATCACATTTGTTCAGAAAATGTGTTTAAAAAGCCATTTACACAATTATGAACTTGGAAATATTCAGTAGTTGAAGTATGTTGTTACTATAATTAAATATTCTACAGGGATGGGGCTGTGCCTTTAAGACTCTTTAGAAGATGTTAGGAATGAATATCAGTAAGTAAACACAGAATGTAGAAAAGCAATAAGACCAGGAAATGGTGGCTTATGCCTGTAACCTAGCTACTCAGGAGGCTGAGAGCTAAGGATCATGATTGAAAGCCAGTATGGGCAGAAAAGTTCATGAGATTCTAATTAACCACCAAAAAACCAGAAGTGGCGCTGTGGCTCAAGTGGTAGGGTGCTAGCCTTGAGCAAAAAGCTCAGAGACAGTGCCCAGGCTCTGAGTTCAAGCTCCAGGACAGGCAGAAAGGAAAGGAAAAGGAAGGAAGGAAAGAAGGAAGGAAGAGAGGGAAGAAGGGAGGGAGGAAGGGAGGAAGAAGGAAGAAAAAATGAATATGGAAGGGAGAGTTTATTAAAATCTAAAACAACTTATGGTGGACACTGAAATATACCATGAAAGATTACCTTCCTAATTAAATTCCATTAGCTATTTTCTTATCCACCACCACTTAAGAAAATTAAATCCTACAGTCACATTGCATGTAATAGAATCCATGTAAGATTGTAGAAACTGTTATGGTTTATCTTAATATATATTTGTTTTCATCATGAACTCATAATCCACTGACGTGCCTTCAGAAAAACAGACATCATCTTTCTTCTTATTATTATTGCCAGGCAGACATGCCTGGTAGAAGAGATAGATCCGGGGTCATAGTCTTTTGCAATTATCCACAGATCCAAACAGTTTCTGATTTAATGGTTTAATTTAGAGCCTAATTATATTTATCAGAGTGTTCTGTTCTTGATCTTGATAGAAATGATTCTGCTGGCTTTAAAGAACAAATGTACAACACAAACTATAAATGAAGCTTGGGACTGAGAGAGAAAGAGTTGTGATCAAGCGTAAAGAAAATAATTTATGATATGTTGGCTTATGGATGCCATTCACAAAATATTTGTTGAACATTTTCTAGTCGTCATCTGCAAAACATTCATGATGATTTACTTAAGGCTGTTTTGAAAATGAAGACTTAGACTATAGAAGGCATTTGAACAATGCCACCACCTGATGGGGACTATGTAAATATGACTTGTTTGTTAGCTGTCAGATCACAATTTTAGCATCAGAAAGAGAAGCCATTTAGACATTTGACTATTTTGATTCGAATATAGAATTTGACTTCGTTTTTCTCAGCTGAAAGTACAATAGTAATTTGCTTCTTACTCTGTGCCTTGGGACTGGAATCCTTCCACAGCTCAATCACATTTTCTGGGTTTGTACAAAGGAATCCAATTGAGCTGCTTTTCCATCTTGTCATTCTAAGCACCTCGGAAGAACTGAGCATTTTTCTTCAATTTTTGCTCCTATACAGCCACTCAACTTTCACCATAGTGTGAAAGCCATACACATTCAGGAGAAACTGTACTTTGAAATTTGAATTCTGGTCTCTTCTCAGGCTAGATTGGAGCTATGGGGTGGGAGGAGATCCTTCTCCTCATGCTGAGTGGGTCAGTGAACCACTCTCCTCTAGTGAGCCCAGTGATCAGGAAATCACCGGTTGCATTGCCATATTCAGTAGGCTAGCTAGTGGATGTTATGATGAGGATGATCCACCCTGAGTCCCAAGTATTGTCCCAAAGGTGGTACTCCTAAGGGTGGAGCTTAGTGGGAGGTCCTTATGTCATTGGGTTGTGCTGTCATAGGGAATTGTGGGATGTGAACCCCTGCATCTTCCTCTGCTTCCTGGCTTGTGGTATAGATACCAGCTCCCACATGCATACTTGTCAACATGTCCCCTTTTCTAAAAAGCCTCAAATCCATGAGGTTGCCCATAGCTGGGCTTAAGTCTCCATCACTGTGAGCACAAGCAAAACTCTCCTTATTTCATAAATAGCTTGTGGCGGGTGTTTTGTTACGGTGATGCGACGCTGACTGCTGGAGTTGCACTGAGTGCATTTCCAAGTTGTATTTTTCGTCTGCTGATGGGTTTGTGAGGATATAACCCCATCAGGAGTCAAGGCACATCTGTCACACGAGTGTATCACAGACATTCTTGTCAAGGGAAAGTTGTGTGTTTCATATACTATGTCTGGGTGGAGCAGATGTTCTGTACCTTATCTTTTGTAGCCAGGCCTCACACACTCTTCCACATTCTCAGTCCATTCCTAAGTATAAAGCGGAAATGGAGCTGTGGAGTTGGAGTGTCCATCTTTGACAGAAACTCCCTCCACCCCGCCATCCCATCTCTTTGCCTCATCCAACTCTAGGATTCACTTCCATGTTCCTCATGAAAATGTTCTTCATGAAAACCTCTCTAAGTGGTTCTATTTCCATGCCCATAAACCCTCAACAATGCCACCCTGGTAAGAGGAAATGAGTGTGACATACTGCTATGGACAGGAAACGGGTGAAGGGAATTTGACCCCACAGCCAGTAACAGAAGAAAGATGTGGTATCCCCAGGCTGCACTTCAAGAAAATCAGTGAGCAAAGATGCAGTCTTTGTACAGCCTGGAGCACAGGTCTGCCCTGGATGACGAATCTAATGAGAACATTCAACAGAGGGTTGATCAACACGGCTGGGCGCACCTGGGTCATAAATCATTCTCCCTGGCCCACACATTACCACCCGCACATCTTACAGATGAATTTAAGCTCAATTATCTCACAGTTGTTTTTCCTCTTTATTCTCTGTGGTTCCCTACATTGTATTAACCATAAATCCTCTACCTACAGTTGTTTTACAAAGACTTGGCTCAAAAATCAATAATAGTATGGTTAAGCTAATAAAATAAATGACATAGATATGTTCATATTTTCATTCTAGAAATTATATATTAAGATACATGGATATAAACTTATTCATTGCAGATTAGAAATAGAAGGGGCTGTTTCCTTACTGACTGATGGGTATGAGCATTGACACCTTGGCTGGCCTAAGAACTGTCACTGACCCATGAGTCACACAAACTTCTGAACTGCCAGTGTCTTTTTGCTACTCGCAGGTATTGGTGAATAATAAGATCTCACTCACACAGGCCCAGAGATAAAAGTTACCTAGTGTTAACACATCCCTTCCTCCAGACCTTTTAGGGGAGTAAGGATGGAGCAGTACTTGGGCTTGAACTCAAGGCCTCAGTACTTTCTCTCAGCTTTTTCTCTCAAGGCTGGCACTCTGCCACCTGCACCATAGTTCCACTTTAGTTTTTTGGTGATTTATTGGCAATAAGAGTCTCACAGACTTTCCTGCCCAGGCTGACTTTGAACCATGAACCTCAGATCTCAGCCTCCTGAGCAGCTGGGATTACAGGTGTGAGCTACCGCTGCATCCTGCCCTTTTTTATACGTCTAGTCCAGATTGGTCTCAAACTCTTCATGAGCCTTTTGCTTCAGCCTCTGTTGCTCTTTGGTTACCAATGTTCACCACCAGTGCTGAACACATCCTCATGAAGCAGCTAATCCCCAGCCTCTACTAACTGATTTTGGTCAGCAGAGAAGGGGGTTAAGGATTTTGAATGGTTTGTCTTTTACCCTGAGGTTAACTGTTCCTTTCTGTAATAAGCTTGCCTTGGTAACACATGCTAGGGACCATTAGCAAACAGAATGTGTTTGTTTTTCCTGTGTCTCATATTTCCTGCCAGCTTGTTGCCACCAGTACCAAAATGAAAGACTGGCACCATGACAGATTTGAGTAGCAAGTAGAAACACCTTCAATCCAGATATAATAAGGAAATTGAGAAATTTAATCTTTGCAAAACAAAGATTAAAAGTATAAACTGAAGTATAATTAAGATGTTTGTATGAACAGAAGTATAACTGAAGCATTTCTTGATATCAAATAAACACTAAAGAACCTGGAGTGTAAACTAGGAGCAATTCTTAATCTCAGCCAGTTGGGAGGCAGAGATAGGAGGCTCATGGTTCAAGGCTAGCCCAGACAAAAAGATGAGTGAGATCCTATATCAAAGAACAAATAAGGCCTAGTAATCCAAAACCAGCTCACGCAAAACCAAAACTACAGAGAAAGAATTGAGGAAGTGGTGCAGAGCAAGTCTGACAAGCATAAAAGTTCACACCTATAATCCTAGGTACCCAGGAGGCTGGGATCTGAGACTCTCAATTTGAAGCCAACCTGGTATGGGAAAATAAACCCATGAGACAATTAGCTCCAATTAACCAGCAAAAAGCCAGAAGTAGAGGTGTAGCTCAAGTGTTAGTCATGAGTAGAAGAAGTAGAATAAGAGTGAAAGCCTTGGAGTTCAAGACCTACTACAGGCACAAAAACAAAACAACAACAAAAACATGGTACCTATGATATAGTAATCTCTCAATTAAATACTTGCTAATGGAATGTACAAGTAACTTGACCTTGTAAAATTATATGATTTAGTGCCAGAGCACAAAGCCATTCAAATATACTTAACTCATCTTTGATAAAGGTTCAAGAGTAATACAATGGGAAAAAAATGAGAGGATATTCAACAGATGTTGATAGGCCATTTAGACATCCAATACATTGCCCCCAAAATAATCTAAAG